TATTTGATGGTTAACCCGGAGAAGTATCCAGCTAATCCACCAGAGATACAAAAATACTGTGTAACTAGCCTAGAGTAGTTATCCCTTGGAATGTGTTCATGCTCATAGGTCTTCCCAGGTCCCCCAAAATTTGTGAGAACAAGGAAGTTAAAACTGCTCACATACTTGATAGCATTTGAGCTCATCTTGTTCTAATGGATGGAGATATAGTTGCTGAATTTCCAGGGAAATAACATTTTGAAGTACATTGAAAACGTACACACAAATTATAAACAATTCCCTATTAATGAATTTTTAAGCGATTAATTACTCTAGTCTTAAAAAAACAAACATTGTAAATAAGAGTTAAATATACTGCACCTTTCAATGTTAAATAATCACGACTTAAAATATAACGACCGGAATGACTAAAATTTAAATCGGATATATTGTTAATAATTTCAGAGAAAAAGCATCGACTCATTGGATCGTCAACTTCTTCAAATGCTGCAAAATAGAGAAAATACAGGAAAAACAGAATCAAAATTAGGATTGTCAATGATACTTGACTGACAGTCGTTAGTATACCAGGAAACAAAATAGGTTTATTTGTGATTTTCTCTGATCTTACTTGAATTTTTTACATCACGACTATTTTTCCTCCGATTTAAAATTATACTTTAAATATTGAGTAAAGGAGTACACTTGACGTTATAGCATGCATGTATAACTATTTATCCGTAAGATTAACTTCGTACCAAGCCTGGGATAAATATGCATATTAGGTTAACACAACGAAAAAAAACTATCAAAACAAATGACAATGTACTATAACTAGTAACAATGTTAGCAATAGTAGAAATAAGGATTCATGAAGTATGGAGGGAAAAGTTCAAGATAATTTCAAAACATGTAATCTAAGTGAGGACAAACAGTGAATATACCTTCATTATATCCGATTTCGAGTCATTTCACCCGATTTTTTCAACTATTGGTTACGATATTTACGTGAACTGTAACAGTTAGTGAATTCATGAATAAATAATACTTCTTGGTTGCTCACTAGTCATTGTATAATTTAGTGAATAGATCACCAGTCCTACTAGAAATATAAGTTAACTAATCGATAATCAAATTAGTGATAGACCATACAACTGCTTTCCTGTTGTAATGATTAAATCACACAGCAGGACCCAATAAAACCTCTAAGTAATGTTTTCCTCCAACAAAACAAAAGATCATTAAATAATGATAATAATAATAATACAGAGAGTATTACTTACATAATGCATGTTCATCGCATAATGCACGTTGACGCATATCGCATAAACGTATAGTACCTTTACTACTGCTGTAAATAAATAGTGAACATGCTGATGGGTGAAATTGTGCAGCTGTTATCACTTCAGATAAATCTTCCATATTTACAGGTTTTAAATCGACAATATCTTATTATTATTTTTTGATCAAAAAAACTAGGTTAGAGAAAAATAGTTTCATTTTATGTATTTTTAATAATATATAAAGGAAAAGGAATTCTCAATAATGCTACACTTGTTTTTTTTTGTCAGGTTCGTAGATCCTCGAGGGAAAAGACCCGTTTAATCTAGGTTTCATACAATTAGGCACTTATCAGCAAATAGAAACTGAGATCTTGGGGACACTGATGCTCTTTACGAAATTCGAAATTAAATGAACAAGTTTCATAATTGGAAACGTTTTACCATAAAGCTATCGCTTAAAAACTAACAAGTAAGCGAAAATTACTCCCCATAGATAAGCAAAGCAAAATGTGCTCATTAAACGTAATTATTGACATTCAGAGAGGATAGTTTTTGGATATATACAGCAGATTGACTTGCCTGATATGTTACAACAAGATTATTATCTGCTACTGTTTCAATGATGATAATCAATAATGATAGTGGTGCTATTATGATTTGAATAGTGAACTAATTATGGGATACTATATTTCCAATGGCATGTGTGTACCGGACTCCAGTAACCGAACACATGATCCTAGTTAGAGACACTAAGGAATGATCTTTGTGATGGATTGTAAATTGATTAAAATTAAACTGCTAGCCACTGACCTGGTAGTTTACCAGCTAAGTGTTCGTTGCGAGATCAGAAGATTCTGGGTACGATCCCTAGTGGGACGGCGAATGCACAGTAAGGTGAAACAGTTGTTTAATCCTTTCTGATTTTAAACAGAACCCATGATTGAGATTGATCTGCTTCGAAAACAACCTACATATTGCCGAATTCTGTTTTAGATTCAATCTTACTCTAAATCTCGTAACAAAGAAATGTTTGTACTAAATCAAAACTGATGTTATATTATAAGAAATTGCTTCTGGAAACTGGTTAAATCGTTGAGAAGATATGCAAATCTTTTAGGCTAGTGTGTGTTTTTTTATAAATTTTATCTGCTTATCGCCACAGTTCGCTAAGGTCTATTAATAAAACTGTAAAGGAAAACTTTTTCTGAAATATTATACAAACGCTTATTCAAATCTTATTAATCTTCACATATTATAAGGTGTGGCTTGTACATACTTATACATTAGTGACTATTGAATCATTTATCGTGATTATTATTGTTGCAATAAAAATATCTGTATGGATTCCAGTTCAGACTGATTTTTTAAAAAGATATCAAAAGATTTTGCCTATTTATTAATCAAGTGTATTGTTAGCGTTGCGTGTATACATTTCATTGAATAGTTGGAGAAAAAGAAAAACCAGCTCTTACTAAATAATTGATGAAGTCCGTTTTAATCTCAATAAAACCTAGTATTAACACTACACAAAATGATCAGCCTCAACAAATCCACAGAACCGATCAAAGACCGAATTACTGACTGATCACTAATAGATTAACTGAAATATATCGACCAATAACTAAGGATCTCGTAAGCACGATAATAATTACTGCTCAGTATCAGAATCAACGTCAATCCTACAAACGGCAAAGCTATGACCCAGTTAGCTCTTAAGCAGCGGCATTTCTTACCATGATACCGGGTGATACGGGTTCGAATTCAACGAGCTGCGTTAGAGGATTTTAGCAACGTGTTGCTAGGAAGTACAAGATAGCAAATAACTAAGGTCAAAGTAACTCTCCCTACCGATTGAGTTCAACCTTATAGGATTTAGGGTATTCTTTCCATCAGTTAATTTGAAACTCCCTAACAACGTGCTTACGTAATCTTATCAAGAACTGAATCCTGTCTTGCGTGATGATCGTTAAACATAGGGCGAAACGATTGTTTATCGTTGTGTAACTCACCGTATTATTTTAGCCAAGGTTCTACACGGTGCTAGCCACTTACCAAATACAGACTAGCACACCTCACTAAAAATATGCCGTGCGGGCCATCGATACGATACAGCTGTCCAAAATGGAGTAGATGTAGTGAGGTTAAGACGCACGATCGAGTGCCTGAATATTGAATGCTTAGGCCACTACTGAGTTACTGCTTCACAACAGTCGAGGTTGCCATGGTTCGAACCCAGAATCTAGTGTCTAACGACTCGGTCCCTTGAGCTAAAGTCAATGTACGTGATTCAAAAACACCTGACAAAATTACTCACACAGGACGACAACGAAGTTTCTCAACAACAAACTACTTCACATCAAATAAATAAATAAACTATAAAGAATATAAAAAAGGATACTGAATGATTGATTGGTAATTTCTAAATTCCATAAATTAATTCTTAAATCATCTGCTGAGAGAAATGTCTCTTGATCGGAATTCACTGATAATGAATTGATAAGATAAGTATGTGCATTAGCAAATATTCGTTTAGGATGTGCATCCATGACTGGATCAATATCTTCATAATATGGTACACGTAGATCAGTTTTCTGATAAATTTTATTCAATGAAGCAGATGAATTGTTTGTATTATCACTCACTACAAAACCATCATGGTCGTCATCAATAGTACTAGTATTATTATCATTGCTTAGAAAATAATCAGAAGATATACAACTACTATTGGCAACACGTCGACATCGTTCAGTAATACGCCAAAGCTTAATTGTTTTGTCTGTAACAAAGAGAGAAAGAAGTAGATAATATGTTAACAGTTTAGTGGTTGTTAGGAACAATGAAAGAAATAACATTACCACCAAATGATATGTTTACACATACATAATCTGTTCAATAAATAAACAAACTAATGTCATACACCATTTTAAGTATATCAGTTTTATTGGCCCACATTTTAAAATACTGGTAGAACAATAAACTCAATGTAGATCTGTGTTTAGCCTCCACTTTCGCTATTAAAAACATCCATGAATTGTCTGTGATAGAAGTTAGACTTTTTCCTAGTTGCCATAATGTTTGATGATTTCCACATTGTCCCATCAATACTACTGTCCGCTCAACATGATCATTTTGCATCCTGGAAACAACTAACAAATTCCATGAGGTTAATTCTAATAATAATGAAAGATAATTCAACATGGTAATCAGTGTGTGAAGCCAGACAAAAATAATCACTGCGCTCATATTATACACAGTGTTTGCTTCATTTTTTTTAACAAATTAAGATGAGCCTAAAAATATTACTAACCATTTGTAGAAAGCAGAAACTGTGCATGATTAGTACGTGGTAACCATCGGATTTTATTGATCTTTTCTTCAATTTCCAATGATTTAAGATAGTCGAATTCCGGTTCATGACTGACAAATGTACAATACACATTGTGACTGATACACTTTTGAAGTTTATCCTACAGAATTTTTCGGAATAAAAAAAAAAGAAATACATCGTAGACAAAGAAATAAATTATGATTTTATTTTAATCTAATAATGTAGCTTAACAGATCAATACAGGTGTGATGTATGCGGGTATTGGAATCAAACAGTTTCAAAAATAAGTGACTCGTCATCCCGTTGTAGGTTGACTATTTACATCGCATTACGTAAAACACAGTTTGAACTTGTGATCATATGATTGAAACTAATTACCGTTATATTGGGTACTTGCCTAATTTTGTTACTGTTGTTATTAATACCTTACATCTTAGTAGTAAGTTAACATATCTCAAGTGCTGCGACAGGTTGGTGAGTGTGAAATGATAGTTCCTCTAGAGGTACCTGAAAAAGAGACTGGATTGGTTATCATCTTCGACACAGTGTAATCAAAGAGCATAAAGGATAACTGTTTGAAGCCGGTCACACACGAACTTTTCGTGAGTGGTTCTTAATGTGTTAGCTCAGTTACTTAAAAATTGTAACATTCCGGCTTCATGAAAACAAAAAACTATCAACAATCAAGTAAAAATGTAAGCGTGTGTGAGAGATAAATAGTGTGATATACGATACTAATTTCAATTGATTTAAATCGTGAAGTATCAAGAGGAAATAAGAAGAAAGGAGGGAGAAAGAGATAGCACTGACAGCTAAGCAACAACTTTCTATCTCTATTAAAACTGATAGAATTATCACGTTGTTGAAATTTTAGGACTGAACTTTGATTGGTCTTTTTTGCTGCCATGCACGCATTTTGTATGCATTACCTTGTTATAACTATTTCGTTATAAACTGTTATGGAGATGGATTATGATTAGCAATAGAATCCAGGAGGCGAGTTTCATCCTACCTGAACCCTAATGTTGTTGTTCACATTCACATTTGAGACCAGAGATAATGAGTTCGCATTTTAATGTGAACATCAACACTTAAAATGCAGATATATCTGGCTAACTAGTTCTAAATAAAACGAAAACTGAATGCTGGATTCTATAGCTAACCGAAATCCATCTATTCTATAAAGTCCTTGAAAAGAAACAAATGAAGTCGGAGCATGAAAAAAGTTGAGAACTATTATATATATTACAGTTCAAAATTTACAGGAAGATTTAAAAAATAAATATTTTTGCACCATAACGATTTATTTTGTAAGTGATTATGAACTTTTGATAGGTTGTGTGATTGATATCATTCACTTCTAGTATTCACTAATGACATTCAACAGGAATTTAACAATCAGATACTTAACAGTGAGTAAACTATCTCTTAAAAAGTTATAATGGATTGATTTACTAAGTAATGCAGTCCTGTTTGGAGTGGGAAGAGTTCGCTCTTTTTCTCCAAATGCTCTTATATGGCTATTCGTGTATAGCCGCTGTCAGAGAAGTTTTATTCACTGGCTTTTTCATGGCAGGGTTGTTGTCTATGAAGTTGAAAGGAAGGAAAGTGAATAACCGACGCTTAAACCAGGTTGGTGGGTACAGAGGATCTACATGAGTTGGAAAACCTTGATCCCAAACCAATGATAAACACGGGCTTACACACTTGGAAGGAATAAATGGTGTATAGAACTATTGGTCACCAAGTACCATGACAGTGAATCTCCTAACGTTGCTCCACTACCTTGTGGATTAAACCCCTAGGTCAAGGGCTCGGGTAATGGCCTCCCAAGAAAAACGCTTGCTTCGAATTGGGAGGCCAGGCAGTATCTCATCCAATATACAAATTATTTGATTTATGTGGCGTTTAAATATTTAGGTGCCCTTTTGTACTAATGCTTATATGTTTAAATAAATAAAATAAATAAAAAATATATTACAAAATTATGGTACAATGATACTAACTTAAATAAACCGTAGAACTGAGAAAACTTTACACTAACTACAAAGGAGAGCAAACGATAGAAATGTCGTCCAAAATAATGGAATGATATTAGGCTTGAACAATTTAGAATTAGTCGATCACAAAGAAAGTGGAACCTGACAAATATGTAAACCCGTTTAAGTTGCCATACCATTTCATTACAAGATACAATTATCATAACAAATGCCCGTGTAGTAGAACTCGTAACAGTATTGATGGTAGCAGAAACAATTATGTATGAACGACAGTACTCGAGAAGCAAGATTAAATTTATGGAACAAAAAATATACTAAGTTTAAGACTCAGACTCTAAAGGGCTAACAAGGAATAAATGCATTTGCGCCCTGGGGATAGATTCTGACTCAAATCACTCAACGTCTCAGAGCATCAGTCACGATAATCGCATCGATCCCAATCAGGTAGTCTGCATCGATCAACAGCTCAACATAATAGCCAATAACTTCATGAACAGATGCCATGTGCTGGTTTGGATGTTCCTGTTCTTCTTCCAATCTACTACTACACTAAACATGGCGTATCAAGGTAGGCAGTGGTTAGACATGCATAAAATATTACTGAGTGCTGAAAAAGTCATCACAAGTCAATTAACATTGAATATGAAATCAACTCAGTCTACAAATAGTTTTTTAATAATTCTCTTTCCATATTTGTGTATACATACAAACATAGTTTTGGATTATGAATATACAGATGCATGTTAAATATATCACAGCTTGAAAACTAACTTCATTTTCTCGTTTGAAAATCACAATTCGACCACCATGATCACCAGTTGCTAGAAAATCGCCAGTTTTATTATATTCAACACAAGATATAATATCAGCTAAAATAAAAATGGGTATTATGCGTAAAAGTCATTAAATTTTATGTTACCTTCATTAACATCTTCACATGTCCCCTTGATTTGGCTGAAATACCAACCCTCTAAGTTCACTGTAATGAAAAGATTGGAACATGCAAATAAATATCATTAAAATCAAAAAATAATAATTCAAACATAATTAGCCGAAAATATGAGGATCTTTATTTAGAATTATGAAATCTAAAATGTGTGTAATTTTGGATTCGACACCCTGAAAGTTGCATCTTTAGTGTCTGATTCCCAAGAAAACTTCCATTTTATTTTCTCTGAATCCCCATGCGTTTCAAAAAGTATCACGATTGGTTGGTACTTGAGTTTTTCGTATTTTTGATTCACGAAAACTGAGCTAGAGAGCTATTACGGGAATAAGTGTACTTGTGTGCCGAGTATTTTGTAGTATTTCCGAGTCACGCGACAGGTTTATGAAATACATTAGCTGACTGTTCAAGATCTAGAAAGAACTTGCAGCTGTAGTTAATAGGTAGGTCATGATGATCCGCAGTCCCATAACTTAGATATATCCGCATGAACTAACTAATTACTACTTACTTACGCCTGTCACCCACAATGGAGAATAGGCCGCCAACCAGTATTCTCCAACTTACTCTGTCCTGGGCCTCCCTATTCAGTTCTGTAAAATTTTGTTCATTCTCACGTCTGTCTCCATTTCTCAGAGTAATGTGTTCCTTGGCCTTCCTCATTTCCTTTGACATTGAGGGTTCCAAGTGAGGGTTTATCTGGTGAAGCAGTCGGGTGATTACCGCAATGTGTATCCTATTCACTTCCACCGCTTCTTCCTGATTTCTTCCTCCGCTGGAATCTGCTTCGTTCTTCCCCACAGTAGATTGTTGCTGATGGTGTCTGGCCAACGAATCCGAAGTACTTTGCGTAGACAACTGTTAATAAACGCTTGTATCTTTCGCAGGATGGCCTTTGTAGTTCTCTAAATTTCTGTCCCATACAGTAGAACTGTCTTGGCATTGGTATTGAAAATTCTGACTTTGAGGTTGATTGATAGTTGTTTGAAGTTCCAAATATAGTTCTATTGTAGAAATGCAGTCCTCGCTTTCCCCATCAATGCCTTCATATTTGCATCAGATCCTCTTTAGTCGTTAATGATGCCGCCCAGGTATGCAAAGGTGTTAACGTCTTCCAAGACATCTCAATCAAGAGTGATTTGGTCGGCGCATGTTATGTTGTATCGTAGAATCTTACTTTTCCCTTTATGTATGTTGAGACCTACTACTGCTAAACTGGACGTCTTTTCTTGCATTTGCTGTTGCGTGTGCGATAGAAGAGCTCTTCACGAGCTCTAGTTAAGCGTCTAAGGATCATCGAGACTAACAATTTGGAAACTGTATTAGTTAGACTTATTCTCCTGTGATTGTCACGAGAGGACTTTTGTCCTTTCTTGTAGACTGAGACTATCAGTGATTGAGACCAGTCGGATGGAATTACGCACAGTTCCCAGATTCTACCTAAGATCTCGGTCAATCTCGCTGCTAAAGCTGGACCACCATCCTTAAACATCTCAGGGTTCAATCTATCAGGACCCGCTGCTCTCCTTAACTTCAGATTTCTTGTGGCTTCCTCAACTTCATAAAGACCAGGAGGACCTATATCGATTTGCCATTCAGGATGACTGTGGATCGTGGGCAACCGAAGAGTGGCTGAAGGCCAGTTGAACTGACTTTTTAAAGTGTTCTGTCCATCGGTCCAGTCTCCTGGATTCAGAATGAATGATGCAATCAACCTTTTCTGAGATAGTCTCGCTAACAGACGGATTTCTAATACCAGTTTCGTTGATAGGTCGGTACAACTGTCTGTTGTTGCCTATCGCCGTCGCCTTTTCCATCGCTTTTCCATTCGCCACCACCACTGTTCACGGTCGTTACGTAGGCTTTTTATCAGCCTGCGCCTAAGCTGACTCCGCTCCTCATCATGTTCAAAGCCAGGTGGAGTGAGTTTGCGAGCCTTTATCAGTTTGGTGGATGCTAATGAGATCCACGCCTTCATCCTAGACTTATGGTTTACCTTACTAGAAGATAACACTACTGTCTCCACAGCTTTTTTGATATCATTCCAAGCTGCCTCCGAATGTTAATCACTTACATGGTTGCCTAACTCTCTTTCTATTTGTTTCTGAAATATATTCAGTCAGTCAGTTGCAACGTGGAACTTCGTACGAAAGTACATCAGTTCATGTCACCATACCACATCAGCACACAGATGTAATTGTCAATTCAAATCCAATAGTAGAAGAGGTAGTAAAGGTATTAGAAGTAATCGGAGAGGTTAGGATTAGAAGATACTATTCAAGAAGTATGATTCAATGAGATAAGTTTAGAAAGTAAAAACTAGAGGTGTTGAAGAATTCAGAAATATATTAATAGCTCTTTCATCATTAAGTCAAACTCTAAGAGCTTTCCTTGCGGTGTTTTTCCCACGTACGGTACGCGCTCGCACTACAGCATGCTGCACCTACACACGAAGTTCTCAGTCAGTCAGATGCAACGTAGAACTTCGTACGTAAGTACATCAGTTCATGTTGCCATACGAAGTTCTAATTCGTAGCTGACTGACTGACTTAATAAAATTACTGAACCTGGTCAAGACTTCTGAACAATTCCAGCCAGATGTTCAGTAATTCGGATATACCACTAAGATCTAGTTATTCTTCTAGGCTAAGATTAAAAGCCTTTGTTCGATAAATGAGAATCAAAGAACGTAAAACCTAGCAAACTTGTATCAGACAGACAGACAGACAGATAGATACAACGCAGAACTTCGTACATAAGTACATCAGTTCAGGTTGCCATACCACGTCAGCACAGAGACGTAACTGTCAGTTCAAATCCAAGAGTGATAGTGATAGTAGAAATATTAGCAGCAATCGAGAAGATTAGGGAGCGAAGATATGATTCGAAAAGTATAATTCAGTGAGATAAAATTAGAAAGACAAAGGTAGAGGTGTTGATTAATCCAGAAGATTAGGATTTGACGGAACACAAAGAGTGGATGCACCTGCGCCATTGCAAACGGTTTTGAGCCATGTCATTCAGAGTCTCTAACCATTGGTGACCTTCGTCTCGCGCACCCCAACCAGATAGCCTACATCTACCAACATGACTCAGTCCCCCCACTTGTCAGTGACTTCATGGATTTCTGCCATGTTTTGGTCTGGCCGCGCCTAACTTTCTTCCAACCTACTCCTACACCACAAACCATAGCTCGTCGCGGCAGTCGGTGGTTAGCCATACGTAACACATGTCCCAACAACCTCAACTGATGAAGTTTCACTACTTCATCTATTGATTTGCCATTCTTACCTAGAACTCGTTTCCTAACGACAGCATTGCTTATACGGTTGTCCCAGGATACACGAGCAATGCTTCGGAGACATCGATGATCAAAGACTAGTAACCTACGAGTGTCCTCTACTCTTAACGTCCATGTTTCGCATCCGTTAAGTAGGACAGAGCGAACTGCTGTACAGTACACTGGTACTTTGGTCAACAAGCGAATATCTCGCCTGCAAGTTGGCAAAAGCCAATCGAGCCTTCTGTATCCGTGCTGAGATTTCGTCAGTCACCAGGCCATCAGGACTGATGAGACTGCCAAGATAAGTGAATCGGTCTACACGCACAACTACTTCACTCCCTAAATCCAGTTCTGGTGTTGATGCAACCCAATCTTGAAGCATCATTTTGCATTTCGAGGGTGGGAACCGCATCCCGAACATGCTTGCATTGTTGCTTAGGGTGGTGAGAAGACTCTGCATTTTGTCAGCGTCTTCACAAAATAGGACTATGTCATCGGCATAGTCTAAGTCAATAAGCGAGCTACCTGGTAAAGGGTAATTATTTACGAAGTTGTCTTAAACTAGTGTCTGACTGTGTAAATGTTAGTACACATGGCTTTTAGCCGGTTTTTGACTGCTAGCTATCTGTTACGTACAATCCGTTATGTAACTACTTCGACTCAAGCTGCCATACCCTATTAGCACAGCGAGATGAAATTGTAGAAAATCCCCGGTTGGTAGACGTGGTAACAGTATAAGTGGAAACAGAAGAAACTGGGCATTGAACAGATGATTAAAGACTGAACTGACAGTTGTCGAAATTAGGTATGTAGAGTGAGGTTAGTACCAGTGATCTAGTTAACGAAGGTATGGTGGTTTACTTAGTGTCTTACAACTCTGATATGAAGGCTGGTGAACCAACAGTCATCACCTGCTAACAGTAATATTCTTCATGAGAATTAAAATGATTTTCAGGACTTGAAGAATCGAGTGTAAAGAAATTGATTGCCTTATACTAGCCCATAATAAATGTATTGGAAGCACACGATACCGAGGCACTAAAAAGCCTGTCAATATCTGGATTCCTACATCCCGATAGTTTCATGATAGTTATAGTGCAAGGCAAGTTTTAAAGTGACTTTCTTTAAATGGAAACTTAACAACAGCTCTTGTAAATCAGTCACTACAAAACATTTTGATTGCAACTTAAGAAGACGTAAACTCTAAGTAACTGAAAGGCTTTTGAGGCCGATATACTAATCTAACGACTAAATACATAAGTGCGACTGGTTAAATAACAACTAAAAGGATTAAAGGACATACCGCCCATCCTAACCGCGAGGTCACTGTAGCAAAACCACACGATAACCGCGCTACAAACATCAAACAAAATTGTTCTACGATGAAACTGGAAATGTATGCTTTTGATGTTTATTGAACAACTAAATAGATTTCCTTTTCAATAAAGGTCGGTTAGGAGTATTCAGTCAGCAAAAAGTACTGTCTGAACTGAACAAATTTTGAATATTTGAATTCACCGTTGCTAAAATAAGTTATGTATTTTGAAGTTATTATAGGCAATAAAATGATAATAACAAACTTCTTTCGGTAGGTTTTTTAATAAAGGTGTCTTTGGAAAAATATACTCTAAAGTAGACATATTTGGACATTGGTTTTAGTACTTGCTGATTAGCATGAGGCACATCAATCTAATCCTGTTACTTATGGTGCTTGACAAAGTGGACAACTTCTGGCTTATCTTGAGCTGAATGATTTTTGCCCTTTTTCTTATTAGACTAATCATCTGGTGGGAAGCTCTCATAAAATTCGATAACCAAGATCATATCGTCCGCATCTGCAGCTTCTTTTCTGGTGAATTACTAGACATTTTTACTAGATCAAGTTCAATCATCACCTACTGTAAATACAGTCAAGAACACAATCTCTATGACGTCACAGATTTCGAGGACTAACACAGGTTACTTGAATTTTCATTCTGTTATCTAAAGACTAAAGGCTGATGCAAATAGCGACATTTTCTCAACGGCATACTAACTTTTTGTAATAGTCATTCCAAGACCCGGGGGAGAAATTCATTCTTTTTTAAAAGATCTCTTCATGATGTTGCAGTGGTATAATTTTACGAAGAGAACACAATCGCTGAAACGGAAACATTTATTTTTGTACTTAATTCTGACAATAATTGTTCTATTGTACTCCTTTTGTTTAACTGCACTGAAAACTATCCCGCGCGTCAAGCGTGTGATTCTCATTCCGCTTCCCTCCTCGGTGGTTGTTAGCCGCTTCTTTATTCCGGTCTTGATATTATTTCGTTATCATACGACCACGGAACAATATAATTCTTCCATAAATTATTTGCGTTCTGATTTCCGAGTCAATCGGGATTTTACTTGGTAATCTCGCAAATAATAAATACCGTCTCACTATGATTGGTGAGCATTGACAACGAACACGCATCAAATATGGTTAGTCTCTCATTTTTCTTTCAGATTTTGTTACGTTTTTAACTGTTGGTTAATATTAATCGATACTTTCTCAAATATACATTATATCTACAACAGCGTTTTAAGACCCAAAAATGAAGATAACCTAACGTACTCCCAAATACAGGTCCTTAATTTGCGACCTGTGGCTTTCGTTCCCCATGAACCATAGGTCTGATCTCGATTTGGGATCCCCCGCATCATGACCCAGCGGCAAATGTTTGCCTTTGCCCTGAAGTCTCTCCCTGCCTACCACATAGCCGCTGTTCGTGATGTCGTTCTAATCCTACTGTACCTTATCTACGATCGCCTTAAACAGGCGATTCTCAGACATTTCCTCCCATCGACGAAGGAACGGTAGAGTGTATCATTAGCATTTCACCCCCGAGGTTATGTTAAACCAGGCCACCACCTCACGCTCCTGAAATCCTTGGCAGGACCTACGACAGCCGACTCTGACACAGAGAATTGTAGCTCGAAGCATTACTAGCTCATGTGCAGCTAATGATCAGTGCTCTGCTCGAGGATACACCATTTAACAAGGTTGCCCTCATGGCAGAAAAGATAGTATTGCAGATTAGCTTGCGAGACAACTACACAGCTGCCTCTGCGTCACACATCTCGATCAAGAAAGGCTGCAGACAACCGCCTCCAGCGGGCATCTTCCAAGCCACGCAAAAAGGCCTCTAAGGAAGCGGGTACCGGCTGGTGCCAGTCCTACCGGACTTTCAAGTCTGGGGCCCGTCACTGTCGAGCCCCCTACTCATACAAGGCTGGAAACTTCCAACCCGACGAGCGAACGCGGCGGTGCTCGTTGGCCCCACACCTCAGGTTGGACGCCCATTTTACGTGCACTATATCCGCACTAACGCTAGGTACCTCTTTGACACAGGTGCCCAAGTTTCTGTCGTACCACTAGGTAGCAGCAAGTCTCAACCAATGATGCCTCGACTACGCGCAGCGAGTGGCTCTGTCATTCTTGCATGACGGATGATGGTCAATCTGAGCAACCGACGGCAGTATCTGTGGAGGTTCATCATTGCCGATATTCCCACAGCTATACTCGGTATCGATTTCCTACAACACTATGAACTGCTAGTCGATTCACATAGGCTGCAGCTAATCGATCCTTCGTCGAGCAGTAAATTCATGGGTTTCAAAGTTCAGACAAACGCGTACCGAATCTCAGGTGACGACATTTTCCACGTTTTATTCAAGCAATGCTTGCGACTAACCAAACCTCTCCAGGAGATCCCATCGGTGACTCACCATGTGGTACACCAGATCGTCACCCACGGACCGCCAGTCACGGCAAAACCTCGCCAGCTGGCACTGGACAAATTAGATTTCGCTAGAAATGAGTGTGATAGCTTACTAGCTACTGCTATTATTCTTCCTTCCCACAGTCCAGGGCCTCAACACTCCATGCGGTACACAAAAAGGATGGGATAAGTTGACGACCATGTGGAGACTATTGGGTATTAAATGTAGTAACACGTTTCGATAGTTATCTCATCCCCCACATACACGACATCACGGTATCACTCAAGGGCACCACTATCTATTCTAGGATTGGTCTGGCACGAGCATATCATCAGTTCCCAGTCGCTCTTGAAGATATCGAGAAGGCTGCTATCACGATTGCTTTCGGTCTATTTGATTTCCTACGAATGCCATTTGGATTACGGAATGCTGCTCAAACTTTCCAGAGGTTTAACAATAGCATAGAACAAGACTTTGATTTTGTTCACATCTATATTGACGATCTGCTAATCGCATCATCAAACGTAGATGAACATTATCAACATCTGACACCCTTATTCCAACGCCCATCGGGTAATGGAATAGTAGTTAACCTAGACAAGTGTGAACTGGGCAAGGCTGAAAAAAATTATTGAGTCACAGCATTTAGCGTGAGGGTATTCTACCTTGTGAAGACACCTCACTCCCACAGAGACGACATATAGCGCTTTTGGTCGCGAACTGCTATCAGCCATCAAACATTTCTGGCACGCAGTAGGTCGTAACTTTATCCTTTTTACCGACCATAGGCCTTGAACGTGTGTTCTACGTACCAAGTCGAGTCTATTCGGTACGTAAACCTTTGCAATAGCCTTACGAAGGACTTTCCACGCGATTTCTCGTCAAGAAAAGACCTTCAAGGTTGTTCGACATGGCCGCGTCGAGGTCGTCAGTACTGATCATCTCAAGCCAGCACACGTCAATGACAGTGCCCTACTTGCTAATCCAAGACCCTATGCTAGACCCATCAAACCTACTAGCTGGACCCTTGAAGCTACTTCGGATCCCAAGCTAGACAAATCAGAGACCTCATTCTCACGTCCCAGTTAACAGCACGTGTCATCTGCACTATCTACGGATGAGACTCCGGTCTCACGTCCAGATCAACAGACCCGAATCAACTGCCCGCTTGTCAAGTCAATTACGTATGACTCAAAAACTAGTGTCCAATGATCAAGTCACCAGGCTCTAATACTCTGTATTTAAAACTGAGCTGTCTTCCACAATGGAATTTGCACGTTTATCACTAGTATGAACATATTTTACTCCATTCTCGAATATCCCTTTAATCAGAAGTACTGGTGAATAATGTATTTACAAGACATTTCAGTTATGTTTATGTGGATAATAGATTTTAAGTCCACTTGAATTATCCTGATATCATAACTCTTTGACTTGATTCGCTCTAATTGGCACCAAGGTTATTCTGTCTCTGTATCACAGGTGAAGGCAAATATGCGTTCATACTTCACGAAAACCGTTCCCTACCTAACCATTTCGTTCTGAATTTTGACTGAGCAAGAGCGTGAAAGTCTCAACTCACCTCCCAGCTTTTCATATCAAAGTGCCTTCATTTAAGGGTTACATTTTTGACTCTATAAACTGATTTCATATCTAGTCTTTCGACAATATCGAGGGTGCTGCTATCTTTTTGGAATAAAGAAAGAAACACTGTTCATCCATACTTCGAATAAAACTTCTAAACCAAATAGATTATCCTTCAATCAGACTGACCAAACACGCACTTGAAAGTTACTGGCTCATGGTTTACCATTAAATAGTTTTTACTAAAGAATAAGAAAGACCTTAGTACAAGTGTATCCGAACACCTAGGTCTGTTTCAATCCCTGCTACTGTCAAAGGATAACTGACTAAGTCATTTAAACAGTACGCAACATGTCTCAGATTAATTAATTTACAATTTGAGGTCTGAAAGTAAGTCGACTGCAAAAATGGGGTAGCACTAAAACTATCTTATATAATTTACCACTAAATATTCGATAGTCGTTGTAAAATAATGAAGGTTGGTAATCGCTAGAGAATGTCTGATATCACATCTCGGCCATGATGAGGGTTGTCACGCTATATACGTATTGTTTATTTTAAGCATTATATTCTACCATTACCATTTTATCTGTGATTCAAGCAGAAATAGTACCACCTGATCACAGCGGTACAATAGAACACGTCCAAATTACTGTCCCGACCAATAATTAAGATCGATCTATCCACGGCAGTCAGCAGTAACGGTGAATTAAAACCACGTTACTAGAGAAACTAAGTTGATGAATATAAGATAATCTAGTAGTTTGCACAACTCTAGGTTGAAAAAACCTTTAATATATTGGCAGACAGTGTGTCTCTCCGTTCTGATCCGGAGGTCGAATGAGGAAACCTAGAATGATATAATTGCATTCCCTTGGGGAAACAATATGGAGAGGTTATGACTTGAGAACTAGTCCATAGTAAACATACCATTCTAGTGTGACGAAGTCTATTTCTTTGCCAAATTGTCCATTTTACATTTTTGAATAATCCCACTTTTGCACTGGGGCTAGAGAGCTCATGTCAAATAGATATCACTTCCTTTTTTTAAAATGAACTGGTCTTTATGAAGATAAAAGTTCCCTAGATGATGACGAGCAGAAATCTGACCTTTCAGTACTCGATCCACGTGGTTTCTAGCTGTTGCTCGGAATCTGTTATCACGAACTAACTCGAAATTGGCAACCACTTTCTGAGATGACCGTGAACAAACATTTTGTATTTGACTAAATCAAATCACTGATACTGGGTGTTACTACTATGTTGTTACGGGAGAAATGAAGACATTTTGCTGATCAAACCTTTATATATATAATCATTAATTTCACTGTTTTTTGGGTATATTTGTTTTACTTAACTTATGAACTTGTTTGAATTATTTTTTGCGGACATTTTGGACTCCCGTTTCTCTTGGTTGTTCGTTTGCAGTTTTTTGCTCCAAGAGCTAATAAAATAGAAGGTAATTGTAATTATTATAATTATTGTTGTTAGAACGACAAAGGTCGTCTATTTGTAATACAGTATTTTGGTCGAATTTGTGATTTGGAATAAACTTTGGTATCTACATTGGAGTTTCGTTCTTGGTTTAAAAATTTGGGGCCGTGAATTACAAATAGTTCGACAACCGTGCTTCGTAGGATCGACGGGCAAAAAACTGGACGTAACAATGTGATAATACAGATATTTATATTTCCCTTTTAATGTAAGCTATTATTATGAAATTAAGATGACTCACTCTACTACAATTTAAAAAATTTGAAGGAACTCATAGATAATCTAAAGAAGGTTCAGAATAACGTGATTTCTACCTATTCAAGTTGAAGAAATAAGAATATTCCGACAAGTTGCAGAATAAACATGCAAATATTTCACCGACAGAAATGCTGAGCAGAAATAAACAAATATTTATATATATATATATATATATATATATATATATATATATATTCGGAAGTACAGGGAGACTCGCCGTTGCCTCTTCGTCATATCGACCTACGCTCCCATTGACTGCAGTTCAGACAATAAGAAAGATGAATTTTACAGAAAGCTTCCAGACCTCCAAAAGTTAGGCAGTGTGATAAAGTAATAATGGCTGGTGACTTTAATGCACAAGCAGGTAGACTAAGAGCAAAAGGAACGACACCTAGGTGGATCTTATGATGTCCCTGCTCAGAGAACAGATAATGACGACCGTCTGTAGCAACTGTGCTCAGATAACCACCTATTTCTAGCATAAAGAAGAGCATCTTTTGACCTGGCGACCCCTAAAGTCGACTCAACGCTGGACCCAACTAGATCACATTGACATCAGCCAGCGTAGGCAGCTTGGAACGATATCCATTAAGCTGTGGAAACAGTAGTGATATCTTCTAGTAAGGTAAACCACATAGCTAGTAAGAAGCCGTGGATCTCAGCAGCATCTATAGAACTGGTGGATGCTCGAAAGCTGATCCCGCCTGGCTTTGAGCACGACGAGGAGCGGAGACAGCTCAGGTGCATGCTAATAAACAGCCAACGCAATGATCGAGAACAGTGGTGGGTAGCAAAGCAAGACAGATGGAAAAGGCAACGGTAGACAGTTCTTCCGACTTATGAAGAAACCGCAATTAGATATCCATATATTAAGGAAACTATCTCAGAAAAAGTTGATTGCATCATTCATTCTGAATCCAGGAGACTGGACCGATGGACAGAACACTTTAAAAAGTCAGTTCAACTGGCCTTCAGCCAATCTTCGGTTGCCCACGATCCACAGTCATCCTGAATGGCAAATCGATATAGGTCCTCCTGGTCTTTATGAAGTTGAGGAAGCGATAAGAAATCTGAAGTTAAGGAGAGCAGCGAGTCCTGATAGATTGAACCCTGAGATGTTTAAGGATGGTGGTCCAGCTTTAGCAGCCAGATTGACCGAGATCTTAGGTAGAATCTGGGAACTGTGCGTAATTCCATCCGACTGGTCTCAATCACTGATAGTCTCAGTCTACAAGAAAGGACAAAAGTCCTCTCGTGACAATCACAGGAGAATAAGTCTAACTAATACAGTTTCTAAATTGTTAGTCTCGATGATCCTTAGACGCTTAACTAGAGCTCGTGAAGAGCAGACTAGAGAAAATCAGGCTGGTTTTCGATCTGGACATGGCTGTATAGACCAGATTTTCACTCTACGACAGGTCCATGAACACAGACACATTTAGACGTCCTACAATAGTTGTCTTCCTGGACCTAAAGGCGGCATTCGACTCTGTGGATCGTGAGGTTCTGTGGCATTGTCTGTTATCAAAAGTTGTACAAAAAGAAGTAAATTAACCTCATACAAGCTCTCTATTGGAACACCACTGGTCGGGTGAGAGTCTATGGCGAACTGTCATCAAAATTATCTACTTCAAGTGGTGTCCCTCAGGGCTGTCCACTCTCTCCATGCTTGTTTAATTTTATCATAGACATGTTTTTAGAGTTAACATTACCCTCGTCAGATTTTTCAGGAGTAGACCTTTTACCAGGTAGCTCGCTTATTGACTTAGACTATACCGATGACATAGTCCTATTTTGTGAAGACGCTGACAAAATGCAGAGTCTTCTCACCACCCTAAGCAACAATGCAAGCATGTTCGGGATGCGGTTCCCACCCTCGAAATGCAGAATGTTGCTTCAAGATTGGGTTGCATCAACACCAGAACTGGAGATAGGGAGTGAAGTAGTTGTGCGTGTAGACCGATTCACTTATCTTGGCAGTCTCATCAGTCCTGATGGCCTGGTGACTGACGAAATCTCAGCACGGATACAGAAGGCTCGATTGGCTTTTGCCAACTTGCAGGTGAGATATTCGCTCGTTGACCAAAGTACCAGTGTACTGTACAGCAGTTCGCTCTGTCCTACTTAACGGATGCGAAACATGGACGTTAAGAGTAGAGGACACTCGTAGGTTACTAGTCTTTGATCATCGATGTCTCCGAAGCATTGCTCGTGTATCCTGGGACAACCGTATAAGCAATGCTGTCGTTAGGAAACGAGTTCTAGGTAAGAATGGCAAATCAATAGATGAAGTAGTGAAACTTCATCAGTTGAGGTTGTTGGGACATGTGTTACGTATGGCTAACCACCGACTGCCGCGACGAGCTATGCTTTGTGGTGTATCTTCAATACCTAATCTTCTCCATTAGCAGTAATTCTTTCAGTATATCTATTACTATGGGATTTGAATTGACGATTGCGTCTCTCTGCTAATGTGGTGTGGCAACATGAACTGATGTACTGGCGTACGAAGTTTTACGTTGTACCTGACTGGATTATAATCGTGTACTATCTCACTATAATACATTTCTTAAATATTCTGTTTACAGTTTCAATTTCATTCTGATATAATTGTTGGTGATCCAAAATGTCAGTGTGGTATATTGGGATAAATATGAAGTTGAAATTTCGTAACGAACGTACCGGAATTTTATTTATCTTGAAATGGTTTGGATCATCCTGCTATTGATAATTTGACTCAAATTTGGTTGGCATATGCGCATACGATGCGCAATGTCTCAATATAGCCATTATGAAACAAGTTTCTATAAAATAGATAGAATATAGCTAAGACGCATGTTTCGTCTTGTTTGAGACGCGTTAGGTGGGTGTACCTACATATCAGAGTTTGTGTTTAATCAGGGACTCGAAACTAGTACCGTTCGTTTTAGACAGTACAAAGGGATAAGTCAAACTATTTCAAGTTAATTTAAATCTCATATCTATTGCACAAGTGAATGACCATCTGGACTCAGTAGCTAAGTAAATAACGCAATGAAGTTTGAAGTGTAATATTACTGGGTTCAAGTTGCGTAGTAAACATTAACTCTGAGATGCAGGCTCATTCAGCTGATAAGTCCCAAATAGAACGAAATATGCGTCTTGGATCCCATTCGCTAGCCACATTCTATTGATCCCACTAGAAGTTATTGTTGTATGATTATTAAATACTTAAACGATCATATTTTCGCATTCTCATACTTGTAGGTTGTTTTTTTTAACTATTGTTGTGATTTACTTTTGCCACTTTAATTTGTAGCGCGTATTTACACCGATATTATAATTCCTAATTATTTTGATGTGATCAAGTTTTTACTGTATATTATTGTATGAGTAACTCATAAAACCGAATTAAAAAGTTAGAAACTATCTGTTTATTTATGTCGAATTTCGTTCTAGCTATCTGGTACTTAAATATATGGTCATATCAAAAATTTTGAGAAGGGTTGCACTCATACCCAAATAAAACTAGTAGTAGTAGAAGTAGAAGGAAAACGACTTAATTTTACAGGGATCATCACCATCAACAACAATATGCAGTCTTCATTACTGTTGGTTCAATTAAGGAAAGTAATTCACTAGAAGAAACACAGAAGGCCACTGAAAATTGTGGTGAGTTTTGGAAGTGGATACGTCCATTGTCACAGATGTGGTCAGCCATACATGTTGACCTATTCTGCAGAAGTTCAGTGAGTTAAAGGTACATCACACAATGTAGTAGAAATTAACAGAAGAGAATAACAAAATGTGTAAAATCCATCAAATCTTTATATGTGTATGCTTAACTGTACACGGAGACACTGATAATTAGCCGCGGTGTTCATGGCTAATACTAATAATATTGATAATGATTAGTGTGTATCAAACGAATTTGTCGTAAAATAACCAAAATAAAATGTATTTTCTTCAAGAGACGAAATGAATAATTTTCATATGCAATGGGAGAGTATAAAAGAAATCAGAGGATAATTAAAGTGAAATGATAAAGTTCAAATTGATCAACAGATACAGAAAAATAAGTCAAACACTATTTTCTACTCCATTCATACAATAGGTAATAATTATTTCATCTTACAGAAAACAAGAGACAGAATGAATCATCGAAAAAAAGTAACGACAGTATGTCTCTTCACTTAGCTGAGTCAGAGATACGAATAAAATAAAATAAAAAAAATAATGGATGGATGACATTGGTTGAGTCATTCTGACTTATCATTATTACGTGTACACGCCTCACTTACGTAAACACATGCATATAATGAAAGTGTGAGAAGGGAGAAGTATGTTAGGACTTAGTTTTTTTTTTGACATTTTCAAATAAACACATACAGACATACAAACTGACGGAAATATACAATGTAATTCAGTGAAACAACGAACTTGAGGTGAGGACAAGGAAAATAAGAAAGAGTTTTCTTTGTCATTTTAAACACATTATCGCCATCAGTCCCATAAAAAAAAAATGGTGCACATTTGACGAAAGTGACAAATGTGTTTTTTTTTTAATGATCAATTATCATGCACGACATGAACGCAAAGAAAGAGAAAACACTGGGTATCCATAAATAGGTTTGCTTAGAAAAGAGACAACTCATATTATATATATATATATATATATATATATATATATATATATATACGTGTATATGTACAACATAATGGTAAACAAATAGATAACTGAATCATTTAATTTGAATTTATTAACAATAGTTAAATTAGCATGTATTATTATCTGCCATCGGGTTTTCGTCGAGTTGAATCATAAGCACGAATCAATTGAGACTGGCTAACTGCACCGTGTTCTTCTTGAGAAAATGCATAACCATCTTCATAGAAACAAATAAAATAAACAAAAATATACAATATTAGTGAATGATGTGGTCGAAGACTAACTTAATGGTCAAGTACTTTATGACTGTGATAATGAGTTCGAGTATCATGATTGATGAAAGGTAGTGATTCCTGTCAAGATTGTAAATACATTGTTCAGATAAGTATCAATTATCATGAAACGTAGATCCAGAGTACTATATGTCATGGTGGACAGATAAGTATGCATTTACAAAAGGAATAATGTTGTAATAACTAAATACACCTAGCATATTGATATGGACGATTGGAGCACCGATAAATCTATATAATTCTTTGAAAGTTGGGAAAACGCTAGAAAGAAAAAATTTGTTCAGTTAGACTTCAAGAAAATATGGTGACTAATATGTCATATCATGAATGGACAATAACAAACTTTGTTAATGATTTCAGTATGCCACTAGAATCTTCTCGAATAATGTCTAGTCCTATAATGAAACTCTTATGCAATACTGTGTATCCGAGATCCCACCAAAAATCGAAACAAGGAAGCCCAGTTTTAACAATAAGCATGTTAATTTCAAGATCAGATGCAGCTGACATCCGATAGTTCGCATATCTATTTGCTTTAAGTTAATTCGTGACGATGAACGAACACTATTTACTATGAACTAAACCAGTAACACACAAGCAACGCCATCAAAACGAGATGTGAAGGTTTTCTGTTCTTTACAATTATTTTAAAAAGACTACATTGAAATTTAGAGTATGTGTGAAATCTGATTTGGTCCTACGTAGTTTTCAGTTTGTTTCTTTCTGTATATCAAATTATACTACTTATGAGTAGCTTATGTTACTATTAATTCATTTTCGTATTTGTTGTCATTTAGAACCATAATCATAAACAGTTGCGCATTTGTCCATTTTCTTACTTGTAATAGTGTTTCCTTCATCTTTTCTAGTATTTAACTCTTATGGTGTGCTCAATAGTGAAACTTTATTTATCTGATAAACCTAACCAATTCTAAATGCATAGTGTGCTTGTATCACTTTGTTAATTAATAATATCCACTGCAGACGGGGAGGTACCCATTCCTCTAATTCATATTATATGTGTTGTAATTGAATCCGTAGTCAATTATTTGAAGGCAGCACCTCAGACATGTTTACGACAGTTATAAACTTTACAATTTGAAGTTTGTACACTCCTAAATTAATATCGTATTCGAATTCGAAACCCGTCTTTTAGATTTCAAGATTTAACGTATAACTTCGTCATTAGGTTCTAAATCTTTTGGAAAATTCTGCAACAGACTATTCAGGGAATAAGATAGTGGGAAGAACTAAGGTTATCACTATCTTGACAAAAAGTGTTCTTCAACTGCAAAGTGATAACCACTGAAACATAACTCACTACCTCGGAGGATTTCTAGAGACGTATTGAACGATGAAAAATGAAGATTAAACAAATTCGATAATCGGGAATGTGAAGTATTTCGAATTGGCATATAAGTCGGCTAAATTATTATTTTAATTAGTATGTTTATCGAACCAACTCGTCTGGAGCCTACGAGAATTTCTCAGAAATGCCTTTAGAAGTTGGGGAAATGCTAACAACTCGTCTTTCAATGAATTGAGTTCTAGATTTCTAGAGTTCTAGACGAATTAAGCGCCACATTCTGATTGGACGATTATTGGTCTCTTTTACTAATCTCCCATGTTTCCAGAAACTTTCGGAATATTAAGGTTACAGATAAACTTACAAATATTCTTGCTTTCTATGCCTAAACTATCCTTAGGAGTAAAGTTTTTTTTCACACTTTCCACTTTTTATCCTATGTTTGGTGTTCAAGTACAAAAGATTTCAAGAGAACCAAGAAGCGGTCAGTAAAGCCAGTATCAAGCAATTAGGACATATCATGACTAAATGGTCATATATATATATATATATATATTAAAAAGATTGAACTTACGATCCGATTGTCGAGGATCTGTTATAGGCGTTGGTGATGTTGTGCTCGTGCGTACACTAGCACCAAGACAAAGATTAAGCAATGCCTGTGAACCCATACTTCTACGCATAATCCGTACAAATGCGGAACGATCGACTGATCTGTAAAAAATTACATGCAAATTAGTATTTTTGTTTTAAAATATTTAGAAATTTAATATCATGAATGACAAATAATGGAGGGAAAATTTAATTGTAATCATACACCAATCAGGTTTGAAAATGTTGCTT